TAACCGTATGTAATCGGTACAGTGAATATATTATTAAGATTTCCTCGGTTCAAGTAACTTTAATAGCAATAAATGAGCTAGTAATTAGGACGATCCCAACACTGTCACGTTCTGTCATGACAAAAAATTCGATGAGGTTTTGAAGAAAATCTCTATCATCGTTTTCTCATTCGATGATAGTGACTGAAGAATCTTTGTAACTATCGCGTGAGATCTTTCATTGAACATGATATTTGACAGCCCTGGCGGGAGGCGTTTTTTTGGAGCCTACTACAAGGCGAGAAATATTCTCGAGGATTTAGTCGGTAGCCGATTCTACGGTCGAGAAGGAAGCTGTGAAGCTTCTTATGGAGACGCAGCGGCAAATGTTGATCAACCAGTCGGCGATTTTCAAAAATACCAACAGCCTAGCGGGACCGGTACAGCGTGGGGAACAATTCAACGATGGTGAGATACCGAGAGACGGTCAGGTGTCGAATGGTTCACACCAACCAAACGTGAAATTGCCAGCAATAAACATTCCACCTTTCAACGGAGACCGCAAGAAGTGGATGACATTCCGCGTTTCTACCATTCACGACAGAAACGTTCTCACGGATTCCTTGAAAATGCAGTATCTTTTCTCCTACCTGGAGGGAGATGCGAAGAAATTAGTCAACAAATTCACCATCTCTAGTGCCAACTATACCAATGCGTGGGAGTAGCTCATTAGTCACTACGACAAGAAGCGTTACACTGTGTTTGCGTTGGTACGTGTGTTCAAGGACCAGCAAGTCGTCACACAAGCTTCGCTGCAATCACTAAACAAACTCGTGATGACACTGGATGAGGTTGTCCAACAGTTGGATGCGTTAGGAGAGGAATACCAAGGCCGCGATCCGTGGCTGATTTACTTGATGCTAAAAAAGCTGGACAAAGATACCCGCGCTGCCTGGTCGGAGAAAGCTGTTGACTACGAGCATCCAACGTTTGAGGAGCTGATGACGTTTGTGAAGAAGCGGTGTGAGATGCTGGAAACCTGCTCAACATTCTCGAAGAAAGCGGAAGTGAACAAAAAAGAACAAGTGAAAATGTTCTTTTGTGAAGAATTCAAGAAGATGGATCTGCAGGAAAGAAGAGAGTTGGCACAACAGGCGAAACTGTGTTTCAACTGCTTACGGGATTCACATCCAGCGAAATCGTGTCCCGCAGCGGCACCATACGTTGCTCTGCCCAAAGGCGAGCAAGGTAAAGAAAACATGAACGGCAGCAAGCAACCCAACCAAAGATCCACCAACCGACGGTGAGAAACAGGCTCATGGTAGCAGTTGAGAAGCAACCATCGATTCCGGTGTTTCCAACAGCTGTAGTGCAGGTGCGAAAGGAAGATGGTACGTTTGCTCGTGTTTATTGATTCTGGTGCACAGGCATCAATGGTCACGGAGGATTGCGCACGGAAGCTAGGACTCGTCAGGCGTAATGGGAAGCTAGTGGTTACTGGTATCGGACAGCAAGCTGCAGGTATCACTCGCGGAATCGTCACGCTGCATCTTGCATCTCGATTCAACGAGGTCATTGTGATCTCCACAAATGCCTACGTCCTTGGCAAGTTGACGTCGTCTCTTCCATCGCAAAGGTTCAACATCGTAAACCTGAAGCTGTTGGAAAACGTCAGGGAAATGGCAGATTCTACCTTGAACAAACCTGGACAAATTGATGTGATTCTTGGATCGGATGTCTTTCTTGCTCTCTTGGAGGGATGCCAGGTCAAACGGTGGACCAGCGTACTGTTTTCGGATGGATCGCAGCGGGACGATACGACGAAGCAGAGAACATGCAAGGGAATCATGCCATTGTCAGTTTGCATACGGAGATGGATCTAAATCGAACGCTGCAGCAGTTTTGGGAGTACGAGGAGATAAACAAGCCACCTCAGTTCACTCCCTCTGGAAAGAAGGTCATTGAGCATTTCAATTCGACTACCCAACACACGATAGTTCAGGGCGCTTCGTCGTAAAGCTGCCTTTTGACGGTTCGAAGCCCGCCCTCGGAGAGTCAGCTGCGATTAAGATACTCTGCTATGGAGAAGCGATTTGCTTCAAACCCGGAATTCCGAAAGGAAAATGTCAGCTTCAGGCGCGAGTATTTGGAGCTTGGCCACATGGAACCAGTTCCGGTAAATCAAGTGGTAAGCATTGGTTCCGAGCACTACTATTTACCGACATTGCTCATGGCTGTTATCTATCAACAATTTTGGATCGTTGGTTGCCAAACTGTTGTACATGACGCCACTGTTGTACAGCCAACCAGCTAATGGGAAGTCTCCCATCCGCAAGAGTTTTGGCGACACGAGTATTTGCGTACGTTGGCATTGATTATGCAGGGCCACTGAAAATCAAGGCTAGCTACGTTCGAGGTGTAAAAATTACAAAAGGATACATCGTGGTCTACGTGTGTCTTTCTACTCGTGCAGTGCATTTGGAGGCTGCAAGCGATATGTCCACAAACACTTTCATTAGTTCCTTGAAGCGCTTTGTGTCAAGGCGTGGCTACCCTAACGAAATCTGTTCTGACAATGGTACCAATTTTGCTGGTGCTGATCGTGTACTTCGAGAATTCATACAACAAATTCTATCGCTGCGCGGTATCTTTCGAACTTGGTGTTCAACCCTCCATCGGCGCCCCACATGGGAGGCATATGAGAGGCGGCCGTCAAGAGTGTGAAGTTTCATTTGATAGCAGATGTGCATATTGCCGTTATAACTGAAACGTTCCTTAAACCTGACCATAAGGTTAAAAGGGATGCAAATTACTTCATTTTTCTAAATGATCGTCTTGATTGTTCAAAATCGTATCAAACATCAAATTCTTTCTCCGTTAGAAACCAAAGTTTTTGAAACTTTGATAGTTTCTGTTGAAACAAAATTTGGACAACTTACGTTTATAGCTGCTTATTTGCCATTTCAATGCGTAGGGCAGCAAAAGAGTTTTCTCAAGGGTGACCTTCAGAAACTTGCCCGTCATAGGTTTAAATTTTTCATTATTGGTGATTTTAATGCAAAACACCGCTCATGGAATAATGCTCAAAGCAATTCCAATGGTAAAATTCTGTTTGATAATAGTTAATTGCCGTTATAATTGATTCATGTCAACTTTGTAGCCAAATTGGTTACCCATGCTGACTTCGATTCTGATCACCTTCCCGTAACTTTTGAAATATCCCAAGAAATAATTTCTAATCCCAACAGCTCTACTTTCAATTACCATAGGGCTGATTGGGAGCAATATCGAACATTTATGGAATATAACTTCGATCCAAACATTCCTTTGTAAACCAAAGATGAAATTAATTATGCTCTTGAATCTCTGACTACTTCTATAGTTGAAGCAAGAGCTGCCTCAGTACCAAAATGGGAGGTTAAATTCGATTCAATTATAATAGACGATGATCTTCAGCTCTTGATCCGTCTTAAAAATGTCCGTAGGAGACAATTTCAAAGAACACGCGATCCTGCCATGATAGTTATCTGGCGGGATTTGCAAAAACAAATTAAAAAGCGATTCTCTGCCCTGAGGAACAAAACTTTTGAAAATAATGTTTCTAAATTAGACCCGAGTTCCAAACCCTTTTGGAAACTCACAAAAATTTTGAAAAAACCTCAAAAGCCTATTCCAGCGCTTAAAAAAAGTGGTAAAATTTTGATCACAAATTTGGAAAAAGCTCAGAAACTTGCTAAGCAATTCGAGAGTTCCCATAATTTCAGTGTAGGTCTTGCTAGTCTGGATATTTTCTCTCGGGAAAACATTTTTCATGATTCCTGGGGAACTGATTTGGACGAAGTAAGATCTATAACTAAAAAGTTTCAACAGTTGAACAGAATGATGCTTCACATCAATACGAACTAAATTTTTGCAGATAAGTAGTTTGGATTTCGCCATGGGCATTCAACTACTCATCAACTCTTAAGAGTTACCAATTTAATTCGTTCAAACAAATCTGAAGGCTGCTCAACTGAAGTTGCTCTTCTAGACATTGAAAAAGCATTCGACAGTGTTTGGCATGAAGGTTTGATTACTAAATTGAAACAGTTTAATTTTCCACTCTATATTATCAAACTAGTTCAAAATTATTTAACTGACAAAACTCTGCAGGTTAATTATTAAAATTCCAAATCTGAAAGCTAGAGTTCCTTAGGGTATGGGTAGCATTCTTGGGCCTATATTCTATAAAATTTCCACTTCTGACCTCCCTGATTTGCCTCAGAGTTGTCACAAATCTTTGTTCGCCGATGACACAAGCATTTCCGCTAAAGGAAGAAGTCTTCGTGTTATTTGCAGCAGACTGAAGAAAAGTTTAGATACTTTCTCTTCTTACTTACAAAAATGGAAGATTTCTCCCAACGCTTCCAAAACTCAACTTCCTCAAGCTTCCTTTTTGAAACCTAGTAGTAGTCACATAGTCACTATGAACGGAGTTCCAATTTCCTGGTCAAACCAAGTGAAATATCTTGGATTAGTACATGACCAACAATTAACTTTTAAAGATCACATTGAGTGTATTTCAACTGTCACCTCACAGAAAGAATTATGGTAAAAATGGACCAATCAATAGAATGAGAGTGTATAACAATTATTCAACAGTCTTCAGATTGCCAGTTCTTGCATCATTACCAAGATCACCGAACGAGTCTATCCCCTATACAGCTTGCGGAGAAGTATGTAAGTCTATAATAATATAACTGTCTTCCAGAGGAGTCTGGAATGTAAGATAATGAAAGTACTAGAAACACGTCATTGGTTCGGATTCCATCGGTCTAAATCGAACCTGCTAACATCGTATCAACTGCACGTCATTATCTATAGGTAATCGTAGGAAGCTCCTTCACATCTCACCGCTGACCAGTATCTTGCGGTGATAATCACTTTGCGTGACCAACGGAATCTCACTCAAAGAGACAGGGTAGCAATTGTTCCCATCCCTATCTATGGACTATCAGTCAAATCCAGGTATATGTACTTACTCTTCAAAAACTCCCACCGTCGGGCTTCTGTTTCCGACTCGAGGGCATCAAATACGGCCGCTCCTATCAGGAGATAAGTGAACGTGCACACCACCAGCGAAAGTGTTCGAATGTTTTGCCGTTTCATGGTTCTCCCGACTTTCCTCTTTCACTTCCTCCTTTGGCACCCGACCCCCTTCCTTCTAGTAGGTACTAGGGGAATAGAGCGATTGATGGAAGCGGATGATTCTTTGTTCCTTAGCAGCGTTGCGAGGGTGGCTTCTTGCTCATCTTCGTCCGATTGGTCCCGTGTGAATCAATTTTGCTATGATTGACTAAAATCTATATGGCTTAACAATGTTTTGATGATGCTACTGTCTATAGTATCGTCGCGTTATTGCTGTTCGTTTGCAGAACTGGAATTGAAGGCTTCAAGGGAATGTTTGCTCGTTAATTTCACAGCTATTTTGAACTCTATCAATGTTTCATTGCAAATACACTACTTTGGATAAGTTTTGTTCTAGTAAAGTACAGTTTGTTGGCAATTTTCCTCTTCGATTTAGGTGAATGTTATGATTACTAGTAGAACTTTCTTTTCCATTTGACACAATTCACAGCAGGATAATTTTTAGTTTTTGACAGCGCGAAGGGCATTACATGCTGTTGCGTAGGTGATAAGGATTGCGAGAGGATGCGCGAGAGAGCATCTCCGGGGATAAAGTTATGCTCCGAATTTTGTTTTGGTTCGGTACACGTGCTTCTTGTGCGATTGCATGCTGTGCACTGTGTTTTGTGTTAGTTCGTCATTCTTTGTAATCGCTCTCTGAAGATGCACCAAATCGGGGTAGATGGGGCAAGATCGCCACCCGGGGTAAGCTGAGCACCCTTATAGTTTACATCAAAAATCTTGTATTTTATTAAACTGCTAATACTTACCTTACCAATCAGACTAAGGCCTTGTTGTCCTCTGCTGTCCGAAGAAGTCGTCTCCACTCTACTCGATCCATGGCCACTAGACTGATGCAAAATTTGACTTTTTCGCTCCACAGTGCTTAAATGGTTTCAAATCGGGTCCTGATTAGCCTCCAAAAGTTAAAACTCATTTGGTTAGAAACAGACTTCGCACAAACCATTTGAAGTTTACATGTAAATTACTATGAGAAATCTCAACTTTTTGTTCATTGCCTTCTAGTCTTCTTTCATATTGAGCTGCAAAACAGCTCGATAGCGATTCTTATAGAAAATTTTTTCAGCTACAACTTTGCTGAAGATTGTTTCTATGTAAAACCAGACAGGAAAAAGTTATTAATTATTTAAGAGATTGGTAAACTTATGACATGATTAAGCAGCTGCTCCGTAGGCAACACTGTATTTTGCAGTGTGACATAGTAGCCATGATTTTTGTGTCCTATTCAACGCCCCAGAAACACTAATGTTGCCTGCTGAGCAGTTGATTGAGCATGATCATAGGACATCAGTGCATTGAACCATTAATAACTTTCGATCCTTGCATTTAATCAAAAAGTGGTCTTCAGCAAAGTTGTAGCTGGGAAAATATCCTACAAGTAAAGTTGAAAGCTTTCGAAGCAGACCGATATGGTGAATTATTAGATAGACATGAACAAAAATCTTGGTTTTACCATAGTAATTCCCATACAAACTTCAAATGGTTTGTGCCATCTCAGTTTCTCACCAAATGGGTTCAAATTTTGAGAGGTTAGTCAGGATCCGATTTGGAATCGTTTAAGTATTGTGGAGCGAAAATTTCAAATTTTGCATCACTCTAATGGCCACACTTCGCCAGCCTCGTAGTCTGCGAAGGGTCCGCAGGTCGCCTTCTACTTGATCGATCCACCTTGCCCGCTGCGCGCCTCTTCTTCTTGTTCCTGTTGGGTCGTTTTCGAAAACTGTTTTCACTGGGTCGTCGTGCGGCGTTCTTACGACGTGCCCAGCCCACCGTAGTCGCCCAATTTTTGCAGTGTGGACGATGGATGGTTCTCCCAACAGCTGGTGCAATTCGTGGTTCATTTGCCTCCTCCACGTTCCGTCATCCATCTGCACTCCAACGTAGATGGTACACAACACCTTCCGTTCGAAAGCCCAAAGGACGAGTTGGTCCTCCACGAGCATAGTCTAGGTCTCGTGGCCGTATATGACCACCGGTCTAATCAGCGTCTTGTAGACAGTCAACTTCGTGTGGCGGCGAATTTTATTCGACCGGAGCGTCCTCCGGAGTCCAAAGTAGGCACGCTTCCCTGTCATAATGCGCCTTTGATTTCCTCTGCTGGTATCATTTTCGGCGGTTTCCAGTGTGTACGAACACACGAACTCGTCGACCACCTCGATTTCGTCACCGTCAATCTGAACTCGGGGTGGGAGGCTAACATTGTCTTCCCTAGAACCTCTTTCTCTCTGTATTTCGTCTTCGATGCGTTGATGGCAAGTCCAATCCGCCTAGCTTCAGCCTTCAGGCTGATGTACGGTTCCGCTATCGTATCAAAGTTCCGTGCCATGATGTCGATGTCATCGGCGAAGCCAAGAAGCTGGATGGACTTCCTGAAGATCGTGACACGAAAGTCCATCACCTTGCCGTAACCCCCTTCGAGATTCAAAGGGACTCGAGAGTGTCCGCGAAACTCGAACTACGCACATCACTCGATCCATCGTCGCCTTGACCAATCGCGTCAGTTTATGCGGAGATCTTCGTGCATAATATGCCATAGCTGATCTCGATCGATTGTGTCGTATGTGGATTTGAAATCGATGAACAAATGATGTGTGGGAACGTTGTATTCACGGCATTTCTGCAGAACCTGCCGAATCGCAAAAATTGGGTCCGTGGTAGCGCGGGCACCCATGAATCCCGCCTGGTATTGCCCCACGAACTCTCTTGCAAATGGTGACAGACGGCGGCATAGAATTTGGGAGAGTACCATGTAGGCGGCGCTCAGCAGTGTGATCGCGTGGTAGTTACAGCAATCCAACTTGTCGCCCTTTTAGTAGATTGGGCATACGACACCTTGTATCCACTCATTCGGCAATATCTCCTCCTCCCAAATTTTGGCAATTACACCACTTGCTTTGTTGTTCTTCAGCCGACCGATCTCCTCCTCAACTTCTTGAAGATCAGGGGCCGGTAAGTTGTCGTCTTCTACGCGTGCTCCAAGGTCTGTTGTCGTGCCACCTTCGTTTTCTGCTGCATCACCGGTGAGGTGCTCGTCATAGTACTGCTTCCACCTCTCAATTACCTCACATTCGTTCGTGAGAAGGTTACCGTCCAGGTCCTTGCACATATCGGCTTGCGGCACGTAGCCTTTGCGCGAATTATGTTGCTTCTCGTGGAACTTCCGTGTGTCGTTTACGCGGTACAGATTTTACATCACCTCGCGATCTCGGTCTTCCTGCTGACGCTTCTTCCTTCGAAAAATCGAGTTTTGTCTGTATCGCTCCGCATTCAATCTCGTGCGGTGCTGCAGCATTGTAGCAACAATCAATACGAAACTAACGATTTTAAATAAGCTCACTACTTGACTAGCCTATTGGTCCCAAGCAAATAGATTAACGTACCCTATTCTAGTCAAAATTCTAGTACTACACAATGTTTGTTTTGATTCGCTATGAAAGTTTGACAGATAAAATAAGGGGTTATTGGATTTTCCTACGTTTCGAGGGGTGAATCGATTAGCTTGGAACCGAAGAGAGTACCAGAGCTGAGCCAAAAAGTTGAGCAAGTTATTTCGGGACCTTCTAGTCTTAGAGTTACCACTATGATTGTAGGCCGTGCTGCACTCTTCTCCTCTTCTAACAGTTTGCATTTGCCGTCAAACTAGTCAGTTCTTCGGTCCGGGATCGCAGTACCTAGTGCCGCTGCAGCAGTACCTATGGCGGAACGGATGTCCCTCCAGCCATCTTCAAGAGAAGCTGCGCCAAGCTGCTCTTCCGTGGGTAGTGCAACTTCCAGCTGTTGCTCAATGTTGGGTCGCAGCGTTCGACTTCGACGGGTGTTCGAGAGTTTTGAGCGTATGCATACTGCAACAAGGAGAATTTCCCGTCGATTAGAACGTGATCGATTTGGTTTTCTGTGTGTTGGTCAGGTGATCTCTAGATGGCTTTGTGGATATCCTTGCGATGGAAAAAGGTACTTCGGACTACCATACCCCGGGCTACCATGCGTGGTTGAAGTTCGTCATAGAATAACCTATCGAAACCCGGGAAGACAAGCGATTTGCAGGTCAATGTTTCGAGTTTCCAATCGTAGTCATTATTTCGTCTGTGCCGATTTAAAATCTCCTAAATAAAAGAAGAAAACAAAAAAGTCTGTGCCAATTGTTCCGGTCCTTATTTCTTTCTTCGGTATTTGCAACTTAATATTTTTTTCCAGGGCGGCTTGTTGGGCCTGCCCCAACCCCCTGTATCGCCAGGGGACCATTATGCACAGTTCTGTTTAGAGTCCCACGCTGGCACTAGGACCATAGAGGTAACTCTAAGACTAGAAGGTCCCGAAATAACGTGCTCAACTTTTTGGCTCAGTTCTGGTACTCTCTTCGGTCCCAAGCTAATCGATTCACCCCTCGAAACATAGGAAAATCCACTAACCCCTAATTTTATCTGTCAAACTTTCATAGTGTCAAACATTGTGTAGTACTAGAATTTCGACTAGAATGGGGTACGTTAATCGATTTGCTTGGGACCAATAGGCTAGTCAAGTAGTGAGCCAATTTAAAATCGTTAATTTCGTATTGATTGTTGCTAGGACGGTGATCATCCGCTCCTAACATGGAAAACAGGCACCGTTTTAAGCCACAAGGAGAACAGACGCTCGGGTTTGGTGAAGCATTTCCTCTATCACCGTACTATGGTTACCGCGCCAGTGTTCGCGTCGTACCTCTTCACTTTGTTATTGCCGGACTGGCAACATTGCCCAGGCTACGCCACCCAGCTATGTACATGTTTTAGCTGGTAGTCTTTTGTTATTATATGACTCAGGGAGGCGTGAGGTAGAAACTTGTGAGGACCAGAGCTAACTATTCCGCCCCTCCCAGGTTGTCAACTCACCATTTTGTAGCCAATGTAGCTTCATGAACAACAATGCTGAAAACAGCAACTTTGTATATAGCAAAGATCATGAGATGTCGAACCTGCATTTACACGAAATTCATAAGAACACTTGTGCTGCCTAGTGACAGAATTCGGAATTAATCTGTTCTTAATTCAAAAAGTCCTAACCTCATAAAATTGCAGAAAATAGCACCTTTCTAGATGTCGATCCTGCATGTACATGCAATTTATAAGGACACTAGTGCCACTTAGCGAGAGAATTCCGAACTAATTGTTTAGCATTTTTAAGAAATCCATAGAACAATATTGTTTAACTTTTGAGTTCTAGTTTCTCGACAGTAATAGAAAAAAAAAAAAAAAACATCAATAAATAGATCACTGGGCGTTAATGGGTTAAACTTCTGCAAAGATTTTTTCTTGCTACATTAAGAATTAGATTCCATTGTAATTAGAATCCATATTTCGTTGTAGTTCTCCTCCGAATTTTTTTAATTGCTTGATCAACATTTAAGAGATTTTCATCCGTGGGTGATCGTTTGGTGTAGTTTCAGGATTGTAGTCATATCATCATTAAGTTTGCCTCATGGTTAATTCAATTTGAATGCCCTTCCGAATCGCCTTGGAATGCTGCTTGAAATTCCTTCCGATTTGCTTTTGAGTTTGCTTGAATACTACTCATAATCTCCATAAAATTATCTTCAGACCTATCTTAGAAATCACCCTTACAATTTTTTATGAAATACTTCTCAAAATTACCTAAAGTTTTTATTCAAATTTCTCCTTCAAATTCCTAAAAAATCTTTTGACATTTTCATAATAATTCTCTATCTAATGCTGCGGAGTGCCTAAAGTGTTGTCCAACTCCTAAACGCATTTTTTAAATCGGAGATTTTTTTAAATTTATCATTTTTGAAGTCAGAAATCTCGCAAGGATCAAGAATGTAAAAATCTAACCTAGCCTAAAAATATTGAAAATTTTCTTATGTAATCTTCAAATCTAGTGCGAGAATTTCAATCTTATACCGTGGATCTTGTAAGCAACGGGTTACTCTTAATCCTGGGTCGGCTTCCCACGTACTTCAGGCAGACTCTTGGGGAACAAAGCGGACAACCAACCAAACCAATCACGACTAGAAGAGGACTCGCATGCAAACCTAAGGCTCTAGTATTCAAGAATAAACGTCACAAATTTATTTTAACATTTTATTTAGGACATGAGAGGTGAGGGAAGGAGGGAATTTTAAGGAGAGGGTATCGGTGCGGCCGTTCAGCTGCTGGTGGGGCCCTTCACATGCTTGAAGTGCGAGAGAGAGTGTGTTTCTGCTGACATACCTGATCCGGCTTGCTTGTTGGAGGGGTGCTTACGAAAGGGGGGGGGGGACACATCGGTTCCAAGCACTGGCAAGCGGGGGCGGACCCGTCGGTCCTCACCAGGCTGGTAACCTCCTTGGAGTCCGTTCCTGTGCTCCACGACCGTGTGTAGTCACCGAAATGGCGAAGGGGACTCGGCTGACTACCTGCACCTGGGGTTGAATCCGAACGGATGCCAGAACGGATCTATTCCCGGAAAAGGAGGCTTGCTTGACCTTAACCAAGGTCCTGTAGCCCGTCCGTCGATGGTGCGGCTCTTCGATGTTGGAGTTCCCACGTGGTCCACTCAATGGAACGTCAACGGTCCGACCAAGGGCAACCTTGATCTCGACTTCTCCGGTCGATCTGCTTTCCGTCTGGTAGATACGGTTTCGCCCGTTGGAGATGTCAACTGGGCTTTGCGTTTGCGCACGGTGGGTTGATTAGTAGTGTTTTTTTGGTTTAAAATTTAGTGCGGACTTTGCCGTCTTTTGTTTTTATTTACAGGGAGCACAAAGGACAAATGACGCAAGCGCGGTTTATGCTTGTCCAATGGCTTTATTTTTGTACTCAATGCTTATGACTACATGCAAAGACTTACAAATAATTATATACATTTGCTGGTCAACTAATTAACTGGGTTTAAATATTTATGTTAAACATAAATTAACAAACAAAAACAAGATAAACTGGCAAAAGGAATATAATACTAAACACAGAAACTTTACTAACCGATGAGCCTACCTTAAAGTTTTGAATTTATAACTAAACTAGCTACCTACAGTTAAATATCATATTCGCAAAAACTGTACATCGCCAATCGACTTCAAAGCCATTGTTGGCGGTGATTGACCGGTAACAATCTCATTTTTTTGTAAAACAATATGCTCAATTTATCAATACGGTCTAGTGTCGCTCGAATAATTTACATGTAATTCAGACAAACTCTGAGACATTTCAAATTTTCAGACTTTATAAAATCATCTAAATTATGCTAATTATGGAACCTATATAATTTTTGAAATTCGGGTAATTTAGTTTGTTTCTCAATAAAGAGTTTCTACGGTTTTCTACATTTAAAGGGTGATACGGTCAAAATTTGGTCAATATCAACTTGACGTATTTCTTTCAATTTTGCATTTAAAAAACCTGAACACCCCTCATTTTGAAGGTGTGTGTGTGTAGAATGTTGCTCCTATTTTGATTTTGGAATTCACTCTTCAGTTGTCAAAATGCCGTCCAAGCAAGAAGAGCAGCGTATCAAAATTTTGCTCGCGCATCGCGAAAATCCGAGCTACTCGCACGCAAAGTTGGCAAAATCGCTAAAAGTTGCCAAATCAACCGTTACAAATGTAATTAAAGTGTTTGGGGAACGTTTGTCGACAGCCAGGAAGTCTGGATCGGGGGGAAATCGAAAACCGGAAGCCGCTGAGACGACAAAGAGAGTTGCCGGTAGTTTCAAGCGAAACCCTAACCTCTCTCTCCGAGATGCCGCAAATAAGCTGGGTGTATCGTCTACAACCGTGCATCGAGCCAAAAAACGAGCCGGACTATCGACTTACAAGAAGGTAGTGACTCCAAATCGCGACAAAAATCCAAAATACGACGGCCAAAGCGCGATCCCGGAGGCTGTACACGACGATGCTGACCAAGTTTGACTGCGTGGTAATGGACGACGAAACCTACGTCAAAGCCGACTACAAGCAGCTTCCGGGACAGGAGTTTTATACGGCAAAAGGAAGGGGAAAGGTAGCAGATGTTTTTAAGCACATGAAACTGTCAAAGTTCGCAAAGAAATATCTGGTTTGGCAAGCCATCTGTACCTGTGGCTTGAAAAGCAGCATTTTCATAGCTTCCGGGACTGTCAACCAAGAAATTTACGTGAAAGAGTGTTTGCATAAACGTCTGCTGCCTTTCCTGAAGAAACACGGTTGTTCCGTACTGTTTTGGCCGGATTTGGCATCTTGCCATTACGGTAAAAAGGATATGGAGTGGTACGCCGCCAACAACGTGCAGGTGGTTCCCAAGGACAAGAACCCTCCCAACACGCCAGAGCTCCGCCCAATTGAGAAATACTGGGCTATTGTCAAGCGGAACCTAAAGAAGACCAAAAAACTGCTAAGGGCGAGCAGCAGTTCAAGGCAAACTGGCTTTCTGCGGCGAAGAAGGTGGACAAGGTGGCTGTACAAAATCTGATGGCAGGGGTCAAGCGTAAGGCCCGGCAATTCGGATTTGGAAAAGCGGAAGCCTAACTGAATATTTTTTGTGAATTTTATACTAATTGAACTTGAAAAAGAAATTTAATTTGATTTTTTAAATAAACGATTTCACCGATTTACACGCGTTTTCCCTTGACCAAATTTTGACCGTATCACCCTTTAAAATAAAATGCCGCTAATTTATTTTTTCAGTGACATAAATGGTGAAAATCATAATTGCATAATTCCGGTTTTCTACCACATTTAGCTGTTTATATGAAACCGGGAAAAATATGTTGGGTAACTGAGAATTTAATTTTCTAAATTCAGTGGCCACACTGAGTACATGCTTTTGTAAACAAACAGATCAATCGCCGATTTCTCGCAGATAAAAGCTCAATCTCATTTACGACGGATGGGATACGCCATAATTTTTTTGTAAAGGGTGTATTCTCTAAAAATGGGACACACAAATTTACTCACAAAAATGAAACCGATTTTCGGATTTTCTTAAATTTTTCAGGGAATGAAAAACTACTAATGAGTTATGATTTACAAAATTTGTTTTACTTAATTTCGTCTCCCATCTCGAATGGCCGCACCTTCCTTTTCACTCCACCTATCAAATTCTGTACAACCGATGTTCCCAGTGTTTTTGTTGATTTTACCCAAATTTTCTTCAACTCCAGCTCTGCTTCAATAGTTTTGGGCTGTTTGCGAAGTTTCGTCTTCAGAATTGCCCAGAATTTTTCAATTAGGCGAAATTCCGGTGAATTTGGTAGGTTCATATCTTTTGACACAACATTGACTCCGTTGGCTCGGTACCACTCCAACACGTTTAGAGTGTAGTGACAGGATGCTAGATCAGGCCAAAATAGAGTTGAACCTTTGTGTTTCCTTATGAATGGCAAGAGACGCTTCTTAAGGCACTCTCCGTGTAAATCACACCGTTGATTGTTCCGGAAGTGATGAACCCAAGTAACAATTCTGATTTTATGAGGGTTCTGTACACCATGATTTAGACTTGTAGAATGCTATAAAACCTCTATAAAACTTGCAATGTTACTTGGGAAGGGAGTACTTATTTCACCACAACCGCAAATCACCTACCAGATCAGGAACTTCTTTGCTAATTTCGATAATTTCGTCTTTCGAACATTCTCTGGAACATTGAACTTAGACTTGGCAACGAAATATTCTTGCCCAAGAAGTTGATGAAAGTCGGCCTTGACGTAAGTTTCGTCATCCATCACGATGCAACACGATTTGGTAAGCAACTTCGTGTAAAGTTTCCGGGCGTGGGTTTTCGCAGTGATATTTTGCTTTTCATTCCGGTTTGGGGCTTTTTGCACCATGTAAACATGTAACTCAGCACGCTTCATGGTTTTCTGGACAAAACCGACTGACACCTTGGACTTTTAAGCGGTATCTCGAAGTGACATGTTTGGACGGTTCTTGAACTGTTGCGCCAGTTTACTGTACATTGGACCATTTTTACGACCACTCCCTTCCTTCCTTCGGGCACTCAGACGCTCCTTGAAGGTTCTTATCATACGAGACACAGTTGTATTTGCTATTCCAAGCTTTTTCGCGATCCAGCGGTGGGACGCCTTTGGGGAACAATTTCTTGTTTCGACTTCATGACTGGAGCTACTGTATAAATAACTATGAAACTTGACAGATGTAAAAAAATACGCTATGTACAAGCTCAACAACTTAAATTTTCAGGTTTTTTACTCATACTGTTCAAAAGTTACAGAAGATTTTCGGTGTGCCATTTTTATCGAATACACCCTTTATGATGCGATTCGTCGTATCTGGGAATAAAGGTGAATATCACACAGTAATCGGTATAGAAACAGCAGTATTTTGTACGTTTTGAAGAACTATTTTAATTTATTGGAAATTTTGTGTCACTTAACGGTGCTACAGTCTAACGGTTGTACAACTTGTGTGTTACATAATCCATCCAATCGAGTTGCACCCGTGTGAATCTTACGTCGCAGAAATGCCTCCAATCGCTCCAATCAGCACCACATTTGGGAATAATCTATGCACAAACACATGAAACCTAAACGACAAACAGATCTAATCGGAGTGCTAGGTATCGTTTGTTGTACGTGGTTGTTAATTTTTATTATTCAAGCATTCTTCAGCGGTCTCTTCAGTTCGCGTAATCTCTAGAGAACTAGAGTTAACACAGTAGTAAAAAAAAAGAAAACTATAAACTGTATGTCTTTGAGAGAAATGGGGTTCATCGAACTCAAAATTCTTCAGTTTTTCAGCACCCGGTTCCGCACTCCGTTGTTGATCGACGACTGCACTATTTACATGTGGTTCTTGTCGAACAGGAACTCTCCCAGCTTGGGTGCGCTCTTCTTCATCTTGCTGAGGGTCGCAATCTTCTCTGCCAGTTCGCGCTGGCCCTTGTGCTGCTCGTCCAGGTACTCGCCGGTCAGGTAGTCGGCCAACTGTTTATTTTTAGGAACAAAAAGAAATTGAATGTTAATTGAGGTTTAATGAGGTTGATTGTCAAGGTTGGACTTACGTGGAAGTCGTTGGTGCCCTCTTCGCAGGCCTTGATGACTCCACGGATGCTGTGGGTGACTTCTTCCTCCTTCTTCAGAGCGAAACGCAGAGCAGTTTCGCCATCGGTTCCGGGTGGCACTTGGAAGCTCTGTAATCAAGGAAAAGGGCTCAGGTGAATTTATCTGCCAGACGTCTTAAGGCTTCTTGGGTAATTTACGTAGTCTAGGTTGAAGCTGGACTTGTCAACGGGCCCTTGTCCACGCATCAGGGCGTACTCGATCAGCTTGATGCCATGCTCGCGCTCCTCACCGGCGGCATTGAAGAAGAACTTTTCAAACCCGGGTAGGTTTATCTTTTCCTGGGCAAAGTGGGCGGCAATCTTCAGATAGACGATCGAGGCATCGAATTCTTTGTTGATCTGTTTGTGTAGTGCCGTGAGGCACTGATCGTCAATGTTGTTCCATTTGTATTCAGCGGTTCCTGGCAATTAAAGTCAGAGTTAACTCAGTTATCAACGAAATATGAACATCAACATCCGGAATCGTTTAATATTTAACTTATTGTACGTATCCTCAGAATTATACTCGACCCCAATCATATGGGCATTATTCAAAATTGGATAACAATGAATTAATTCCGCAGTTCACCGCACTGCTTTGACAGGCACTTTGTTTACGCACAATGCATGCTTTCGCTATCCGCAGAATACGCAGCAGGGGGCGTCTGGAGCAATTGCGATGCCGATTTTAGGTGCAAACCTTTCAATTAGCATCTACACCCCATTCGGTAACTCACGAGAAGGCTACAGAGACAAAGAGCTCTTTGTCACTACCCTGAATCTGTTCTATAGGGCAACATGGTGTAAGTGAGTGAGTGACTCAGTGCGAAGAAATCTCACTCGGCTCGATCGATTATGGTGACAAGCGATGAGGAAAAGGAAAAACAAACTATGCCAATGCAATGGTGGAAATGTACGTCGTAATTGCGGATTTTTCATTACATCGGCGATGATAATGGGTCAATTCTAGCGGAGATGAAGAGTATTTTAGCTCACCTGTCTGCTCCTCAGCTTGTGCCGTTTCCTGGTAGATGGACAGGAAGGCTACAGCGATGGCTACAACTCCAAAGAAGATCGACTTCATCATAGCTTGTTACGCACTGCGAATTTGTGTTCCTTACAAAGTTTATCTGCAAAAGATTTACACTATTTAGCCACGGAACACTTCCGAACGGAAATAGCCAACGACACTCACTAGACAGAACTAGAATATCCTAAACAGCTTCACTAGCTTTTGAACTATGTCAACCTTTATACACACTGGCACAGAAGGTGACTTGATGGCTGCGATGGAATAAAAGGATCTAAAACTCACGTTCGTGTTGCTTCCACCTCTTTCGGTGTCCGGTACTTGTCTGATTCGGGCTCGTCACTGTAGACGGGTCATATATCGACAGCACGGGCAACACTCACGGCAGAACTGCGCCTGTGTCGGTGCAGTGAGTTCAAGATAACCCACACGGCCATTCTCCTATAGATTGGTACACGCGGATACACGCGAATGGTTGAACCTCGCTCCTGGAAAAAAAAATATGGTTTTGCACACGAACCCACAACCATTTATCGCCCGGCACTACGACCAACCATGTTCTGGATGGTTGCGACAAAGCGATAATTGATGAGTAACCCCAATCGATCATTCTCCAACCATTTGGCGAACGACGGAAAATAATGGTTGACGCGTACTCACCCATACACGGCCGTAGGGACCGTTCTTTACGGGACGGCGTATATTTGTGACCACAAAAGCGTACGCGGCTGCAACGAGTACCCTCATAACCGATCAGATAGTCAAGTAAGTGAGACGTAGATTTCATCAGATCCGTCGGAAACGGATTGAAACCGAAAATATCGAGTGATATAAGCGCGTAGCTTTGCCTATTTCTATAAAAGTTTCAGCTCATCTGCTGATTTTGTCGAATTAAGAAGATTCACAAAATCGTAGGTAAGAGGAAAACGTCGTACGGAAGATTTTGTGCGATTAGAGCTAACAGTGTCACCCCATTGTCCACCTGATCTTGTAGTACCGAGTCAAAATGAAGTTCAACCTGGTTGCTGCCGTTCTCGTAGCCGGGCTCTGCATAGTCCGTGCTGTTGACTACAACTGTAAGTTTTTTTAATAATAATAATATCATAGTAAAACATCTATTCAGAGTTGCTGTCCTTGCAAATGCTTAGTCTAAGTGTAGTGCTAGGAAGTAAAACTGCGTCACTCATTTAGGGTAAAGGTACCACGATCACCATTGACTGTTGTTTACTCCCTCACACTAGCCTCCGACGTCAATCAGTTCACCGCCCAGTTTTCCTCCATCAACCACGTTCAGGATGATCTACAAACGTTCACCAATCAGCAGTTGGACAAATCGTATGACTTCCTGCTGCTGGCCTTCACGTTCGACAAGTACGATCTGGACCGTCCCGGATTCGAGAAGCTCTACCGTAAGATTTCCGACAAGGCCTGGGAAGATACGATTGCACTAGTCAAGTACCAGAGCAAACGTGGTTTGATTGTCAGTCTGGATGGAGTCCAATCGGGAGTCGGTAAGGCCTTAGCTAATTTGGCATACTTCAAACTCTTAGCATAAATGTTCAAATTTCCTTACCCAAACAGTTAACCAGTTGAACGAGGGCAAGGTCGGTAAAACCAGTCTGCTCGATAGCAACGAACTATCATCGCTGAAGGTCGCCCTGGGATACGAGAAGATCTTGGCCGACGAGAGTCACCGCATCCACAAGAAGATTTCCCATGCCCACGACAAGGGAGCCGCCTACGATCCAGACGTAGCTCACTACTTGGACGAGGAGATCATCGAGTACCAGAGCGGAACGATTCGCAAGCTGACCGGCTACATCCACAATCTGCACAGCATCATCGAGGAGTCCAACACCAAGGACATGGGTATTCATATGTTCGATGAGTACTTGAGTTCGGTGGAATAAGTACAGGAGGACATTCAACTCGTTTTAGTTGTGTAGAATACAGAAACATTCTTTCCACAGTTTTCCCCCCATCAGTTATTAGAATACAGTACAAGTTTTTCTAATCCTATTGTCTGATTGTATGAATAAAAGTCTGGCATAAGCGGAAACATACGTTCGTTGCTGTTAATTAATTCTGTGTTCGATTCGATGACTCATCCAGGTGGACTTTACTCTCATGCTTTGTAACGACCAGTGTGTTACAATTTCTCTTTCTCAGCGCAGTGGTTGTGAAATGGGAATTCTATCCTCTGTTTGTGGAAAAAGAAACAAAGTTGTCTAGCAACAGGACGCTTATCGGCTCTAGGATCTGGTCGGGGAGTAGTCGGTAATTGACACTCAAATTGAACGTGCGATAATGGTTTCACGTCTCGATGTTATCAATCGTACGTGCATATTTTGTTTATCAAAACCATATTTTGTTTGACAGATAATTCCATCGGCGGATGCTTATGGCTGTGTGAGAATGAAGGAGATTGCCGCCCGCTGTGTGCACGGAGCCGAACACGAATCTAATTGTTTACCGATGTGCTTGAACATCGTCGGTAAGTTTTATGTTTTGAACTCGAAACGCAGTTCTGGACGGTGGGAGGAATATCATTCACTTACTTTGAATGAGTTCGTCGTCTTCCTGTCTTGGACGCTGTTACACGAGCTTTGTGCCTGCTTTCAACCTTTTTGAAGCACTTTCACCTCTCTGTGCCAAGCAATGCATGATCGTGTGGCAAATGATACCCAGGGAAGTCGTAACCTGAAAGATTTTATAGACGGACCGGGAATCAAATCCGCCTCCTCCGGATAGGTAATATCGTGCTAGACTATCCTAATATACAAATACCATACACGAACTGTATCCCGGATGGGTAAACTATCCCACAAATGGTTTGGATGATACCCCGATCGAAGCTCTCTTTTACTATTATTTTTATTAAGGTATGCATTTAACCTAAATTAGCACACAGTTTTTGTGTTTCCATCATGTATCTTTTTTTTCGGTATAATCATGGGATTCTCACGAGGATCCACGGAACTGATCCTAAAGCTTCACTTTTTTTTAAATCATTTGAAACTGGAGGTTTTGACGTAGGAATACGTCTGTGATTTCTATATGGGGGTACACTTTGTGAAAACCAAAAATGGAAAATGTAACAAAATTAGGAAAGATTTTGAACGTTGATAACTCAGCTGCCCCTGGACCAATTTCAATAATTTTATCATCAATCGATCAAAAATATTTCTACGCATATGCTAAATCTAAGACTTTATAATTTTTCAAAATCTCACTCTTGAAAAATGCACGAACGTGCAACTGTTGATGTGATAGTTAAAACTGATTTCAAAGTTGAATTCCATCCGGTCTCACCAAACGGTGTATGTTCAATAACCGCGTGGTGAGTGGTGGTGTTCTCCAGTACACAACCAAAGGCTCCCCGCAAGCAGCTAGCTTTCAAAGCTGCCCTCGACTGCTGATCGGATTCAGCATCAATAGAAGGAAGAAGAAGCCGCACCGCTATTGATTGGAATCAGTAGCTCTTCTTGAGTCGCTGTGGGCCATCTATGCCAAGCGCGTCACCCTCATTCCAGCATTACTCAACCATCACGACAAAACGGTCATTTTCAGAACCAGCATAAATTTGTAATAGAGTTTTTTTTGACATTTGTCAAGGTCATCAATCGGATGTCGGTTCCCATATCAAGATAGAGCTGGAATTAGAGCGTAACAGCTTTTGTAAACAATGACTGCTTTCAATGATGTCTTGAAAGTCAAGGCTCGCCCACGCAAATCAACATCACCATCAGGTAGGGTAAGACTTCCCCTACCCGACGGTAATATTGGTTTGCGTGGGTGTGCCTTGAATTCCTAAAAATCATCGAGAGAAGTCATTGTTTACAAAAGTTGTTACACCTAATTCCAGCTCTATCTAGATAAGTTTAAATCTAACATACCATGTAATTTAAGGCAACATTTGGGGTGCAATTTCAAAAACCAATCGGTCGTAGCATGAAAGTGATCTGATGTTGATCCAAAGATGATGGATTTTAATACTTAATACGTCAATCGATAGGCTCCTGCTGCAGTTAACAAATAAGATTTATTATATAAGACCACGTAGTCCTACAACACCATTGCGTACAACCCCATAGGGCTGTCCCTTGTAGTTTTTTTTAAATCATCGGACAGGTTTGGGCCGAACATTCTCAGAATGTCATGAAATTTTGCCTACAGGTTTATTAAAACAAAATAATATACATAAAATGTGGGGTGGCTAATTTTTCAGGAAAACTGTAATTGAAGTTTCCGGATTATCTCGGGTGATGTACTTTGAAAATTCATAACTCATAAAACAAGCATCGTAGAACAAATGTTTAATAATGAAATGATTCAGTCCGGGAAAATCGGAAAAGATAAAATACAATATTCTGGGCTGTTGGTTTTTTGTTCATAGCTTAAAAATTGTAAGAGACGCCACTTTGAAATTTTCACCAGGAATAGATATTTTTGGTACCCCATGTCTGGCTTTTTCATTAGCATTTCGCTTAGTTCGAGATCAAGAGCACATTGCTCTCTAAACCTGCCATCCATTTGTTACAATTTGTTATCCCTAACCTCACGATAGCCGCGAGTAATCGGCCCCCGCTTTACTAACGTTAGTTTTTAAGTAATTTTGTGATCTAAACAATGGATATCGGCTCCGCAAAGCTACGGCAGATGAGCCTGGAAAAATAAACGCATTATGTAAAAAATAGCTATTCTTGTTCAAAATATTGTCATCATTCCATTTTATAATTTTTTTTTCCATCGAGGAAACATTTTTCAGCTTATATTTATATGGATTGCTGTCGTTATTTTCCTTATAACTTTACCATACACATTTTTGTTCTACTATGATTGGTTCATAAGTTAATAATTTTCAAGATACGTGAAAATCCAGTAGTTTCTAATGTTTTTGAAAAACTGCGGAGCTCTACACACCAAATTTAAATCGCTGGAACTCAGCAGAATTTTGCTGATTTTAGACTTGATGAAAGATCAGCAAACTTTCCAGCAATATATTGCTGCTGAATTTCCAGCAATTCCAACTTCTGTCAAAAGGACACAATTTTACTGATAATCAGCAAACATTTCAGCAATATTTCTTCACTGATTTTTCAGCAAAAAACAATTCTGACTTCTGACAGCATTTTGCTGAATAAACTCAGTAAATCGAATTTATTTTCACTTGGGGCTGGCAGCTTCTGTTAAAGATTGTTGATACAAATACACAAATAATAAAGACAAAATCACCAGGTTCCATGCATAATTTATTAAAATTTAATGTAACCAGTGTTCTTACCAACATAGTTTTATATATTTGTAGTTTTGTTTGCCTCCTCCTCCTCGGTGGTGTGTACGAATGCAAATACTTGCGACTGTGACGCTAAAAGTTTGACAGCTCTTCACTGGGTGTCCAGCAAACCGTTTATGTTAGCTGAATTTTTCGGTAAAAATATTGTTTGCTGTATTTCATTAAAACTTCTGTGTTGCTGATCATGATCCAGCAAACCGTTTTACTGATACATAATGAAAACTAAAATTTGGTGTGTAGCATCAGATTCACGGCTAGACCACTTTTATTGATGTTCCGGATCTTCCGGAGAACGGTCCCATAACCATTCGAGTCCATGTTTATGTCATGGTCCCAAATTCTTTCTTTCATGGATGGACAACTTTTACGGTTGTTCCTGATTTTTCAGTGGACGGCTTAGGCCATCTAGGTCCATGTTTATGTTACGACCCCAAAATCTTTCTTAAATCACGATTCCAAGTATTTAGGAAAGAACCACGCAGCTTTAGGACCAGTTTAAGGGATTTAACACTTTTACGGATGTTCCGGATCTTGCAGAGGATGGTTCCATGCCTATCCAAGTCCATTTTATGTCACGACCCCAAATTATTTTTTATATCGCAGTTCCTAATGTTTTCGAAAAAAAAAACCGTAAAGTTCTACGATGAGTTTAATGGATTGACCACTTTTATAGATGTTCCGGATCATCCGGAAGACGGCCCCGTGGCCATCCAGGTCCATGTTTATGTAACGACTTCAAATTCATTCTTATATCACAGTTTCTAATGTTTTTGAAAAAAGAAAAAAACTAACTGTGGAGCTCTAGGATTGACCATTTTTACGGATGTTCCGGATCTTCCAGTGAATGGTTCCATGACCATCTACGTCCATGTTTATATCAGGACCCCAATTTTTTTTATTATATCACAGTTACAAAGTGTTTTCGAAAAAAACCGTGGAGCTCTAGGATCAGTTTCATGGATTGACCATGTTTGGGGATGTTCTAGGTCCTCCGGAGGACGGTCCAATAGTTATCCAGGTTCATGTTTATGTCACGACCTCAAATTAATTCTTATATCACAGCCCCTAATGTTTTTGAAGATACTGCGTAGCTCTGTGATCAGTTTAATTGATTTATGGATCTTTCGGATCTTCCGGAGGACAGTCCCATGGTCCGGGACCATGTTTATATCACGACCCCAAATTCTATCTTTTATCACAGTTCCAAGTGTTTCGGAAGAAACCATGGAGCTCTAGGATCAGTTTAATGGATTTACCACTTTTTCTGATGTTTCGGATCTCCAAGAGGACGGTTACTTGACCATCAAGGTCCATGTTTATGTCATGACCACCAATTCATTGTTATAGCACTGTTGTAGGTGTTTTCGAAAAACTCTCCAGGATCAGTTTCGTGGATTGACCAATTTTACGGATGTACCAATTTTACGGATGTACCAACCGGTGGAAACTAACGATTTTAAATTGGTTCACTGCTTGACTAGCCTATTGGTCCCAAGCAAATCGATTAACGTATCCCATTCTAGTGGAAATTCTAGTACTACGCTATGTTTGTTTTGATTCGCTATGAAAGTTTGACAGATAAAACGAGAGGTTCGTGGATTTTCGTATGTTTCGAGGGGTGCATCGATTAGCTTGGGAACGAAGAGAGTACCAGAGTTGAGCCAAAAAGTTGAGCACGTTTCTTCGGGACCTTCTAGTCTTAGAGTTACCTCTATGGATGTACCGGATCTTCCGGAGGACCGTTCCGTTGCCATATATAGGAACCAT